GAAAATGAAATACAATCATAAAACCGCAGTCGTGTGTAAAAGTGTTACAGGTAGAAGTTACATTATGACTTATTACTCAGTTGTACTACATATGAACATAAGTAATCTCTTTAAGTTCCTGTATTGATAGGCATTCTTTATCATTCACTGAGGGACACAGCAGTTCTTAGACCCTCAGGTTATACAGGAGAAACACAATGGCAACAAAAAACATAAGTTTATCATTGGATGTGCTTGTATCAGCATTGAAGAATTTTTTTTTTTCTGGGTTCTTCTGGAAGATTTTCTATCAAGAGCTGCTGGTATATTCATACTGTATGTATGAAATCCCAGACGTCTCTCAGGTCCGCTGTTAGTGCTGGTAGAGCAATGCCGGACATATGAAACCCTGGATTGTTTTCGTCATTTAGCTAAGAAGATGGCCAAGATTCCTGCCAGATATAAGAAGTTCTGGAAATCTCACCAGTCCACTAAATGCAGGTTTTCCCAGTTTTTCATACTGGTGTTCTCTCTTCGTTGGTCTTGTAGTGACAGCCATCTGTGTTCCAGCTATCACATAATTTCACTTTTTGTCGTACATCCAGACTAGAGCCTTGCCATGCGTTATGTTTAATCCGATCTGTGTTCCCGCTATCACAGGACTGTTACATGTCAGGCCAGTATTTTCTGGGGCTTCTGCAGAGTGTTACTGCAGTATGGAGCTGTAGTAGTTCTATTCCTGTCCCTGTCCTGACTCTCCATCGACTTCATTATTGACGTGCTATCTACTTTTTGGCCACTTGGGGGAGCACTCTTATTGGCTTCTTTATTGTCTGCGCATGGGATGAAACGGCACTGCTTGGTTTTATGTCTTTTCTGCACTATCAGTGTGGGGGATGTAGCTGTGAGCTACTAGATGATGAACGCATCCCTGAGTCTCTCTGAAGATCTCTTCTTTTTGGGACTTCTTTCCTGCATGTCTGATCCGGTTCCTAACACCCCTTTCAGGGCAGAGCTGGGCAATATCTGGTCTTTACAGCCAGCAAGCCAAAATGGACTGTATCCAGTCCCTGCATACAAGAACAGGACGGCCTGTAATGTCTGCCATTGGTGCTGGATATTGTGGGCAGCGACCTCCGGTGTACCGCATACCTGGTGATCTTTGCTGATTGGTCCAGGGCAGTAATCCCCCTGTAGGGGAGTAGAGTCCCTGAAGGCCCTGCAGGCTGTGTCTGCTATGATGTGTGAAGTTTGGGTCTGAATTGGCCCCTGCAGTGTGGACTGGTGAGTATCTTTGTTTTATGTAGAGCTTTGGCAGTGTCCCCTAGGTTGTGGAGGCTTTGGGCAGTAAGTACAGTAACAGAATGCCTTTTTTACCCTAAGGGGTGCTATACTGGCTGTTGCAGTGTTTAAAAGGGGCAGTCTGATAAGGCACTTTCGGTTATTTATTGTACTTTTCTGTGCATGCGCGGACACCATACATGTGGTAATTTCACAGAATCCATCGTACATTGGCATCATCCTGCCTTTTACCAACGCTGTCTGTGTTATCTTCTCATCTAGACTTGTTGGAGGTTGCTGCCACACAAGTGTTCTGGCCTAGACTGAAACTCATCTCAGCTGAGTGGTCACTTCCGTGTGGGGTATACTGTCCTGTGTATTCCTCAACAAGCCATGGTTTTGCACAGGAAGTGAGGAGGGGGGAAGGAAATGGGGACAGGCTTCTAAATCCCTTTAATCATGTAGGGAAATCCCAGTGCAGTGGCTCCCCTAGGGGTAAGAGTACCTCTGAATCCCTACCCTTACCCGGTATCTCCCACTGTTTCAAGGGCAGCACCTTCCTTATCCTTTGCGTCAAAGGAAGGATTCATTGCAGCTGTTTGTAGACTGCAAGACTGACACACCTAAATGACTTACTAGTCGTGGAGAGGTTCAGTTGGGTATCAAATCTTCAAAAGTCAGCCTTGGTTCTGACGCAATACCTGGAATACTTGGGTTTAGTCCTAGATACAGCTCAGGTGCATGCATTGTTTCTACAGGAAAAATCCCAGTCTCTTCAGGTCCAAGTGGCATTCCTGAAGTCATTGGAAAGTCCCTTGACTTGGGAATGCCTGAGAGTGCTGTTGAAGATAACTGCCTTCGTTTTGCTCCCCTTTGCTCAGTTTCACTCCAGAGCTCTGCAACTCAATATCCGGTTTGTGTTGAACAAACCTCAGCAGTTCCTGAATTTGCTGATACATCTCACTCCCAAGTTCAGGTCAGCTCTGGAATGGTGGATATCCATGTGGATGCTGGATGCCAAGAAATCATTCCTTCTGATGAATTGGAAGGTCTTGAAAATGGATGCCAGCTTGTTGGGCTAGGGAGGTGTTCTTGAATCTCTCAGTTCAGAGATCATGGTCGTCAGAAGTTGCCAATCACCATCTTGGGACTTCAGGCTAGCTCTCATACACTGGTCTGTCTGCCTTCAGGGACTCCCCATCAGGGTTCAGTTGGATAATGTCACTGCTGTGGCATATATAAACCATCAAGAGGGACAAGACGTCATGCTGCCCAAGAAGTGGTCCTGGGCAGATCAGAAAGTTCCAGACCTTTCTGCCATGCACAATCTGGGGCGTGAATTTGGTGGATGGATTTTCAAAATGCCTGAATCTAAGAAAATGGGCTCTTCACCTGGATGTGTTTGCAGAGATTTTACTGTGTTGGAGAATGCTGGACATGGACCTCTTGGCATCCAGACCTTCAACAACGTCCTGAACCAGGGATTCTTTGGACCTTATGGTCGATGCCCTGGTGACTCCTTGAGATCAGTTTTTCTGATCTGAGTCTTCACTAATTCCTTGTCTGTTACCCAGGGTAAGGGTGGTGAGCATTCTGATGATTCCCATTGTGCCAGCTTGACAAAAAAGAATGTGGTATGCAGATATCTTGAATCTCTTGTACTTAAGCTTCACACCAGGTGAAGTCCATATGTTGTGGAGGAATGTATTTTGGCCCTCAGTAATCTGGCCTGGTGATGTTTTTGGGTACCATTAAGGCACAAATAGTGGCCTTTGCTGTGCATTTTCAGTCGCTTATTGCATCTTATTGCTTTGTTCATGGTGTCTCATGGATTGTTCCTTGGACTCTGTGGGACCTCAGCTTGTTCGTATTGCTTTCTTTTTTTGAACCTCTCCAAGAGATTCCTTTACCAATTTTTACACACAAGTTTGTCTCTTCCTTTACACTCTGGGAGCTGAAAGAATGGCACTTTCCTACAAGGAACTTTTCCTGTTTTTCACCAGGATATGGTGGTGTTGAAGTCTTGGTCCTCTTTACTGTCTAAGGTGGCAGCATCCTTTTGCACCAATCTTAACCTCCCTGGCGGTATTCCCAAGTGTAGCTCGGGGTTAATTATCAGTGCCAAAAGCAGTAACCCCGAGCTCCACTTGGGAATACTCTGCAGTGTTGCTCTGGGATTCCCTGTTTTCACTGTTTCACTGCGCTCCTGCGATATCCCCCCTGCAGCGTCCCCGGCCATCTCCTCCAGCCGATGCCAGCATCCATCTTCCGGGTTCCGGTCCCTGCGAGCGTCAGGCCGTACGGGGGCTGGAACCGGCGGGTAATTTAAACGTTTTAGAAAGTGACATTCACTAAATACACTAAAATCACATAGTATAACATTCCTGTACCAAACCATTTCACATACATTTTGTCCCGAGTGCTTTGTCCTGCGCCCTGCCTGCATTTTTACTGTTCTTTCTGCCTGGAAACTGAGAAATGTTCATGGCGTCCAAAAAGCGTCCCTTTAGGTCAAAAGCTGTTTTAGACCGGCTAGAGAACAGCGATAGTAAATCAGAACCACTTGCAGAATTGAGTGATAATGATTTCGTGGGGGAAATTCATCATCAGACACTGAAAACGATTTTGCGACTGAGCTCAGCGATGTGCGAACTTGGCGCTCTATTTCAAATTTGTGTTTTTGGTTTGATTATATTATTGAATTACATTTATTATATTTTTTATGATTATTTATTATATTATAATTTATGATTTCGTGTTTCAAATTTTATCCTACCCGGGATGTTTACTAGACTCTTGTTCGGACAGATTTAGTGAGTTATTCCTAAAAATTACAGGCCTACAATAAAAAGACATATTTTCATGCAAAAAAATGTACTGCTTTGAGCACAGAAATATTGACATAATAAGACCGCTAGGGAGGTTAAGCATTCAAAGGAAAAGATGTTTCCCTGTTTGGATGTTTGAGTTTACCTGAAAGTCCACAGCTTCATTACGACAAGCTGGTTCCCGGTTTGTTCTGCCAGAAGGGTCCCGCAAGGGGTTGGGTTGCTTCTTTATTCTCTGCTGTAATGTTTTCAGGAGGCTATATATAGCATCCTGCTAGCCCCTCCCTCCAGGCATGACCTGCCTGTATTGCATAGAAAAGCACAGAGGCACAGTGATGACATCAGATGGTCTAAAGTAAGCCTTATAATGGAAAGGTTTTTATGCAAAAAATTACATTAGCGTGTTGAGTGTGAGAAGCTGGAGCCAGAGGAAGGAAAATAAAAACAAAATACACTTAGTATTTAAAAGCTTAAAGGGGAACTTCATGTAAATTATAAAAATAAGCGAACAATTAGGATTTTTAATGCAGAAGAGACATGCTTTGTCTTTTTGGCGTTAGGCTTGCCTTTCTGCCCCTGTACAGTGAGCAGCAATGCCGAAGCCTCCTGAACTTCTGCACATATATGGGAGTGATGTCATATTGGCCTGGTGAATGAAAGTGGCTGGTGCTTGATACCTGGAAGCCGGCCGCTCAAAGATGTCAGCGCGTGGCAGGGAGCTGTAAGATGTCGCATCGCTGGCATTAAGGTGTTCCACTTTAACCACCTTCCGCCCGCCATATAGTAATATGATTGGCGCAAGGTGGCTCTTTCGTTCTGGGAGGACGTCATATGACGTCCTCCCATTCTCGCTGCGCCATGCGCGGCTCTGGGAGCGCGCGGCGATCGGCGGTGCGCTGTGTCCCTCGGACACAGTGGATCACCGATCATGGAAAGAGCCGAAGATGTCGGCTCGGTCATGTGATCAGCTGTGTCCAATCACAGCTGATCACATGTAAACAGGGAAATGCGGTTATCGGCATTTCTCTCCTCTCGAGCTGTCACGCTGACAGCTCAAGAGGAGAGGAGAGCTGGAAATGGGCTTTCCGCGGAGGGGGACATGTACACTGATCATCAGGGCACTGATGATCAGTGTGGCCCCAGAAGTGCCACCTGTCAGTGTCCATCAGTGCCAGCAGTCAGTACTCATCAGTGCCTCGTGCCAGTGCCACATCAGTGCCTACCAGTGCACATCAATGCCACATATCAGTGCCCATCTGAGCTGCCTTTCAGTGTCACCCATCAGTGCCACCTATCAGTGCCATGTATCAGTGCTGCCTTTCAGTGCCCATCAGTGATGCCTGTCAATGCTCATCAGTGCCACCTATCAGTGCCCATCATCTGCAGCCTCATTAGCGCACATCAGTGAAGGAGAAAAATCACTTATTTACAAAATTTTATTACAAAAACTAAGAGAGAACGTTTTTTTTTTCAAAATTTTCAGTGGTTTTGGGTTTGTTTAAGAAAAAATAAAAAACCCAGAGGTGAGTAAATACCACCAAAATAAAGCTCTATCTGCCCCAAAAAAAGATAAAAATGTCATATAGGTACAGTGTTGCATGACCGCGCAATTGTCATTCAAAGTGCGACAGAGCTGGAAATTGGCCTGGGTAGGAAGGGGGTATAAGTGCCCAGTAGGCGAGGGGTTAAACACAAAGCGGGCATATTCAAAAGGTAAACACCTCTGCGTTTACAGGGTGTCTTCAGTTCAGTAAATTCTTGCCATCTCTTATTTTTGCACAGAATTTAATAAAAATGAATTACTTTTTGTCTACTTGTTCCTTGCACTGTGGTTGCTAATTGTCTTCCTCTGTCTCTTAGGGTCCCTTGCCACTGCGAGATGACAATGGTGTGGTCCTGTTAGGAGAGCGAGCTTCTAAATGTCGAGCTTATGCGAAGGCCCTCCATTATAAGGAGCTGGAATTCCAGAAGGGACCCACCCCGGCCATATTGGAGTCTCTGATCAGGTAGGACTTGTCCCTGCTTGTGAATGCCTTGGAGGGTGTGTGGTCTGCATGGTGACCTTTGACACGTTCACATGGTGCCTGGTAATAGGGTCTTCACACGTTCTACGGCTCCTATTTCTGGTCTTGTAAAGTTTCTCAGCTAGCAGCTGTCACATTCTGCGGGTCACCTGGTGCCCCCCTGCACTCCATCCTGTGACATGTGTGACTCCTGGGCGCACTTCACTTTTGGGCATAGTTCATGGTAATATTTTTCCACAACCAAATTAGGAATTCTCATTTGTGTTGTCCGTTCATATTATTCAGAAACAGAAGTCTTCATTACTGCAACTTAAAGCATATGTCAACCAAAAACATTTTTTCTCTAGTTTTGGATATAATGGGAAAAAAAATTAGAACTCCTGTCTGGTTTTTACTGCTACCCAGAGCTCTGCTAGAGCAACTTTCCCTCATCTCCTGTCCTGGGATCTATGGTGTCACCAGACAGGAAGTGAACAAATATCTGCAACAGGGACACAAAAATAGAAATCAGTACTTGCACGGTAGGCGCTGGATCTTCTTTTGTTAATGTACAAGATTGTGATGACCATCTAAGCTGGCTAGCTTTAGTCAAGCTATGAAAAAAGCACCCACAAACGAAGAGGGTGTCATAAAAAAAAGATTGATATCCAAACTGTAGTGCGCCCCAATGGTGCAGAAAGATATTATTATATTATTTGAAAGACCTGCTGGTAGGTTAATTGGCTCCTGTCTAAATTGGCCCTAATATATGAATGTGAGTTAGGGACCTTAGATTGTGCAGCCCTTGAGAGTTAGGGACTGATGTGAATGTACAATATATATGTAAATAGCTACGTAAATTGACGGCGCTATATAAGTACCTGAAATAAATAGTATTAAAGAGCCAATGTATTTCAGGGGTTCACACGCTCCCCCTTTTATTAGGGGTTAGCTCAGGGTTTTTCAAACAGAGTTCCACGGAACCTTAGGATTCCTCCCAGAGGTTGCTAGGGGTTCTTGGGGCAATAAGCAGTTTCTACCTCTCAGAGAAGTAACCACTGACACCAATAATTTTTTTTAGCTATTTGTAAGGAGGGAATTCTTCCCAATGACCACACGTGTAAGGCGCATTCTTCCCACTGACCATCACACTAATGTACTGTAAAATGTAAATATAAATATTAGAACGGGTTCCCTAAAGCCAAAAAGTTATTCCAAAGGTTCATCCATCTTAAAAAGTTTGAGAAAGGCTGGGTTAGGCATTATGTGATTTCAGTAATGTTGGATTGAAAATGGTTTGGTAATATTTTTGAAGATTTCACATCAGGTAATGCAGCATTGAGCTTTGTCATAAGGGGAGTCCATATTCTTGTTTAAAGAGACCATTCAGGGCAAAGTGACATTGTCTGTGTAAAGCTAACTCCCAGATACTTGCCTCTCCGGAGATCCCCACTGCTCCTTCCTCTATTGGAGGTATTGCAAAATATCCCATTCTGGGTATTGGGGAGCCTCTTCCATAGTGCAGTGCTTGGAGCTAGTGGCCAATCGCTAAGCCCAAGTACTGTCAACTGACAGGGTGCGACGTCAGCGCTAGGCTCCGAAACAGACTCCTGACAGAGGAAGGATCAGCAGGGGAGCACTAGAGTGGCAAGTGTCAGTCTTTTTACTGTGAATAGGCTAGGTAATGCTGTCTCTCTTAGATGCTCAGGAGTGTTTGAGCTAAACACAGGGCTTTGCTTTTACACCCATTGCCTAAGTCAGTGGTTCTCAACCTTCCTAATGCCGTGACCCTTTAATACAGGTCCTCATGTTGTGGTGACCCCCAACCATAAAATTATTTACTCAGTAATTATAATTCATGAGTGTCGTTTTACCTTTAATACTGCTGCTTTTAACACAGTAGCTGCTTTTAACAGAGTAGCTGCTTTCAACACAGCAGCTGCTTTCAACACAGTAGCTGCTCTTTACACATCGGAAATATGTGTTTTCTGATGGTCTTAGGGGACCCCTGTGAAAGGGTCGTTCGACCCCCAAAGGGGTCGCGACCCACAGGTTGAGAACCACTGGCCTAAGTAGAGAGGTGCGGAAGCCTAAATTTAAATGATTTGCATTGGGGAACCATAGATTCACTTTAGGGGCTTGTGCTTGTCTAATGTAGAGAATATTCATTTTTGTACCAGCAATGGGGTCAGAATTCTTTCTTTTGGCATGTCGGCTAAATCCGAAAAAGGCCCAGCTCCCATGATGCACTGGGTACCCTTGTTTTTTTTATTGGTTGTACCAGTGTAGATGGATCCCAGAAATGGTGTTTGACAGGCATTGCTTTACAAAGACTGCTCTGAAAGCTTTTAATATGCAGAAAGAGAACTGGAATGTTGTAACGGGCAGTAAGCACCCAACTATTGACTTTTCTAAGGTCAGCGTTCCTCTTTGAAGAAGTTTGGTCTCTGTAGCTGCGGCCATACATCACTGCTTTTGGTCATTATTGTGTTTTGTTCATTTTAATTATGGTCTACCTCTTGAAAGTACGCACACCCCAGTTAGAACAAAAAAAAAAAAAAAACTGACAAAGTATTTTTTACATAAAAAAAATCTTTTATTTTTTGGCCTCTTGGCCAACAGTATTTTTCTTTCCAGTTTCATAAAGCAAATAAAAAATAGACTTTACAGTATCTAAAGCAGTCACATCCCGGGGAATAATCACCTATATACAATCTTTCTGTGGTCGGCTATACAACTGAATCTATCAAGCCTGGACTAAGGAAGCCAGGAGCAAAAGTGGAGATGTAAAGCTGGAAAATTAAGCAATCTGATTAGAGCTCCTCTTTTGCTAGTGTTTTCCAGTCCAGTTTTGATAAACCCATCCCTTTTGCATCTCTCTGGTCAGGGCAGGAAGGGCTGCCATCGCCTCTAGTGGTTGTCCTGGGAATTGTATCCTTTTGAATTTTTTGTGGGTTTTTTTTTCCCCTTTTTTTTTCTTTTTTAGCTTATATACATCTGTGGTCCCTCTTAGCGGTGTTAGTTCAGTGTGTCTGTTTCTTCTATAAAGAGATGGGATATTTTGTATCTGTTATTTAGAGATCTCGGATTATCCTGCATCTCCAAGCATGGCGGTTGTTTGTTAGTATTATCATGTGACACGCTCACTGAGCCACCAGTTTTCCTAACTGCTGTCCCCATTGTCCACAGCATCATGTTAATGACACCCCTTATGGGGCTAGCTCTCTGTATGTACAGTGCAGGTGGATTCTACAAGGGAAAAAAAAAGGAAGTAATGGCGCTTGGAGGGGGCACTGTTGGTGTTGAGGTCATTGGATGCTGAGCAGGGTTTGCTCTCTCCCTTCATTGCTGGAAGTCTTGAGGTCGTATCTTCATCTCCACTCTCCTTAGAGAATAGGAAGACCCATGCCAGCCGTACCAGCTGATACCATCTGAATGCTTGTTGTGGTCTCCATTGCGATAGAATATACCGTTCAGGTTGGAGTCTGTGCAGCAGTTGTACCAGTACCCTCCTGAAGGGGGGAGGAAAGACAATATTTTGTTAGGTCACATGACAGGAGGTTGTAGTGTATCCTCAGTGAATACTAATAGCATATTTTGATTATTGTATACCACATACAAATTTTGTAAAAACTTAACTAGTGGCTGTGTGGTGAGGGAAGTAATGAGCATCCTTGTTTTAATGACTGCTGTAATGAAGTCAGTTACTGCCTATGGAAAGTCTGTTTTTCTATCACACCCGAGTCAATAGAGTTACTTTGAGGGTGGACAGGTAAAACGGTCACACATAAAGTTGTTGTAAACCTGGATATCCCCCTATGGTAAGTGTTTTTTTTTTTTTTTTGTTTTTTGCCTCAATCCAACACACCTAGCATGATCTGTCTGCTCTCTCATTCCTGTATTATCTACGAGTCACTTCTGACTGACACACCAGAAAATCCCTGGAGATGGCACTCCCTCAGCACACAGAGGGTGATTGACAGCCTCAGCTGTGCATATTTCCCTATGTGACTGTGTAGAAGGGGGTGTGTCCTTTCCCTCCACTCAGGTCTTAAATTACACTCAGGTCCTTGCTGTATGCTATGTAATGTGTGACATCAGATTCTTGCCCCCGGCCTTCTGGAGCTCTGAAAAGATTTGTAAGTTGTGTGCTTGAGAAGGCTGTAAAGAAGAAATGCTGCAGATAAACAGGTACCACTTATGCAGGATGATTTGTTGCATCTCTGTGTATCACATGAGGATAGTCCCTTCACTGGGTAATATGTAAGGCTTGCAACCACTTTAAGCTCTATTCAACAGGAATCCGTGCCTGCCTACAACACAAATCTGCACTTGCAATTCACTGATCTTTATTGCACATGTGTTTTGTCTGGTCTACACATATAGGAGGACTGTATATATGACCTACCATGGTCACCGTGCATTAAAAAATATAAACTGTCGGGTGATGATCACTGGGCCAAGAGGCAGAGAGATGAGCGCTACGCTGTGCTGAGCACTATGTAGCTGCCGGTAGTGGTAAACAGGACTGTTGTGTTCCATATAATACAGAATATACAGAACACCTTTGGTCATGACGCAGGTAAAAGAGTGCAAATTAACATTTACAACGTGGTTTTCCTGCAAATTATATTCAGACAGTGTGCCATAGTGAATTGCCCTCTGCTGTCTTCTCACCTTTGCGCAGTCCAGCGCAGTCATCCAAGCACTTGTCATTGTCCTTGTCCTTGGTACTGAAGGCCGTGTTGTTGTGATAGCGAAGAGAGTCCCTGCCAGCATTCCCGCTGTAATTGCCCAGGAAAAGGCGATAACTGTTTTGTTCGTCACTGAGGTAGAACTGGGCATATTCTGCATATCTGACACGGCCCTCCCAGTCCTGAAATTACAAAAAGCAAAGAGAAAAGCCGACATAAAGTTACATATTGAGTCCTCATGCACATTTGTCGTTTTTACAGTTGCTGTTTTTGGCTTTTTGAGGTTTTGTTTTTTTTTTTTTTTTCACAGCTAGTAAACCCCCCAGCATGTTATCCTATGTGTCTATGCACACGTAGGCTGTAATCCACGTTTTTTGGCTGGAAAAAAACCCCAGGACTAGTGGGTTTCTAGAGTTGTGGGGGTTTTTTTTTTATAGCTGTAAAAACGCTCTAACGCTGAAAAACTCAGCAAACTGGCAGTTTTGGACGTTTTTTTTTTTTACCCCAAAAAAAATATATATTTTTTTTTGTAAAAATAAAGCCGCTAAACGTTAATTCAAAAACGCTTAAAGCTGAAAAACCAAGTTTTTAACATGACTTTACACAGCTAACATTACCAGCGTTCTCAAAACACCCCGTGTGCGTGGAGCCCTAAAGTTTGTAAAAAAGCAGATGTAGTCCCCAGTTGCAGCCACTTAATGGGCACTGAGCTTATGAACAGTACACCCTTTTGTTAGAATATCAGCTTAGCACCACTAACACAGATTTTGATAGTGTTCTGTCTAAGGCTGAAATCTATGAACTACATTATTTCGTATTTATGACCTGTTCGTTTGTCTAGGAAGTGGCTCATTTATCCAGGTCATGGTACAAGCTGGTAGTAGTTATCCACATTTGACTGGTCTTGTTCTGATCTTTTCATGGTGATAATGCAACGCTACATTTCCCCCACTGGATGGCGCTGTAGGCAAGATCAGTAATTGCAGCTCCCAAGTTCAGTGGAGTGGAAATTCTGTATGCTATTCACATATGTGAAACATTTTGATGTTGGATACAGTGCAAAAGTATTCAAATAGAGTATTTCTGAGCAAAAAAAAAAAAATGACATTAAATTCTGCAGTACATGCATGTTTCCCTGTTTTATCACTGCTACACACACAGGAAAATATCTTTTAGCTTTGGAAATGAGATGCTTACTGGATTTCTGGCAGTTTTGAGTTGACAACACAGTGCCTCGGCTATACTGAAATCCCAGAAAGTGTCGTCAGCCCTGTCTGTTTCTCTGCTGGACTACAGAACACCCCCTCATTCATAACCCAAATTGAAGTTGTTCTGTAGTATAGCAGAACTGTCATATCAGAATGGCCATTAGGAGCACACTGGATTTCTGCAAACACAGGTATTTCTCTGTACTTGCAGCATTTTTAAAAAAGCAAAAAAAAAAAAAAATGGAGGAAATGTGCATTTATTGCAGAGATGTACTGAATGTGTCTATTTAACCCAGACAAACCCTTTTGTGGGAATTCACTAGAACAGGAGCAGACAATCTAGAACAGCTGTATCTAGCAGGGGCGGACTGACCATTTGGAAACTTCGGCACTGCCCGAGGGCCCGGGGTCAGTAAGGGGCCCCATGAGATGCCCCTGGTACCTTTTTTCATAGGCTTTTTTGAGTTTGGGCAAGGACACAGGGGCCCCATGATCCCCTATTGCCTGGGGGCGCCATGAGTTGTCAGTCCACCCCTGGTACCTAGTAACCAATTATCTTCTAACTTCATCATGACCAGTTTGAGCTTTAAAAATGAAATCTTGAATGTGATTGGTTTCCATGCACAGCTGCTCCAGTCTTGGTAAATTCCCCTCTTTATTAGTAGTGAATACCTGTGGAGGTGTTATATCAACATAGATGAACTCCTCATAGGAGATGGACTGTCTCACTTTCAGGTTACACCTACAGCAATCTAACTAGCAGCAATGGATTTTGTTTGTCTTCTTATTAAAGCAGAACTAGACTCTCAACACTTACCTCTCCTGCAATGGTCCGTTGTCTTTTACCCAGCTTCTTCTGGGTTCCAGGATGGGACTCCTGGTGATGGATGACGTCACTCCTGTGCTTCTTCTGGGTTCCAGAATGATGTCACTCCTGTGCTTCTTCTGGGTGCCGGGATGCAACCCCTGGTGATGGATGACGTCACTCCTGTGCTTCTTCTGGGTCCTGGGATGCAACCCCTG